TAATTAATATTAGAAATTCAAAAGAAAAAATTAGAATCAGTTGAGTAGGTTGTCATGATGAATATTAATTAGATCTATGAAATTTAGAAAATACTAAATAAATTGAAATAATATATCATCTAATAATTAAACTAAATTATTAGTAATACAGAAGAATGGATTAAATCTTTATAGTAAATTGGATAATAAAATGTTTATTACAGTTTCTTTGAAGAATTGGATAATCTAATTAATGAATTTAAAATTACAGAATTCGATAAAAAACTTTTAGTTGCTTAAATCAATATAATGAATGACTCTTAGAATCAAAAGATAATTAAAAAACTGAATGAATTTAAATTGTTTGAATTATCTAAGAATTGTGAAGAATTATTATCAAATTTACTTAGTATAAATTAATAAACAGACTTAATAAAATAAATTGATTTCAATCAAGAAAAATAACAAATTAACAATCTTATGTTCACAGAGTTTGCTCTTGAATTTAAGTTACTTGATGATATCAATTAATAAATGGATTTTGGTTATTCATTAGTATTTAATAAGACTGGATCAATTATGATATCAAATGACAAGAGTATTATTAAAGTTTGGAATTTTACATAAGGAATACTATAATTATCAAATGAATTTAAAGTACATAAAGATTTTGTTTAATGTTTAGTGTATAGCAAAAAAATGGATTGCTTTATTTCTGGATCTTTGGATAAATCAATCATTTGTTGGAAATAAATTAATTAAAATGAATGGAAGTGGTCACAACCATACTAAAAACATATTAATTGGGTTTAATGTTTAATATTAAATAAACAAGAAGATTAAATTATTTCAGGTGCTTATGATAAATCAATTAAAATCTGGAATGTGGATTTTATAAAGAATGAATTAACTTATCTTTATTCTTTAGATAATTCACATGCTGTATATTCATTAAGTTTTAATAAATCTGAGACTATGTTTGCATCATGTTCTAAATATCATTATTTAATATGGTAGAAAGGAGTAGAAGATAAATGGGAGTTAAAATGTAAATAATAAATTACTGAAGGGTTCTAAATATGCTTTCTGAATGATCAATAATTTATTTGGATTACTAAAGATAAAAATATTGATTAAATTTTGATTTTTGAATTGTAGGATGGAGTCTTCAAATAGAATTAAAATAAAACTATTCAATTAAATAAGAATGAATTATGTGAGGATGACAGGAGAAACTTCCCAATTATATATAATAAAGATAAAAATATTCTATTGGTTAGACATAAACATCATATTTATATTATTAGCAAAGTAAATGAAGAAAACTTTAAAATTATAGGATCATTAAATTGTGAGATTGATCTTATTTATGGGACAATGACAGATAATGCATAATATTTAGTATTTTGGGATAGGAAATAAAAGAGATACGCATCATATGAATTACTATTTAAATGAAATACTAAAAACCATCATTTTTTTATTAAATTTGGTTCATTTTTTAATCAATCATCATCGCTTTTGAAAAATAATTTTAAATAAATTTTTAAAAGTTGCTGCTCTCAATTCAAAATTAAAGCAAGAAAGTTCTAAATTTTCCTTAGTAAAAAAAAAGATTGCTTATTTTCAATAATAATCTCATTTTATCATTCAAAAGTTTTATTAAATAATTTAATTTGTAACTTTGAAGAAAGTCATATTTAGTTCGATTGCATAGAATAATTCTTAAAAGAATATTAGAAAATCCATCTACTATCCACCTTGTGCCAACAATTAGTAAATTAATGAATTTAAATTTCGAAAAGGCATAGATTTCAAATTTTGTGATTTAAAATTGGAAGGAAATCTTATGAGTTTATAAATTTGGGATAAAACCAGTTAAGTCAATTCAGTTCAACATATTTTAATGGAACTATTGAAATTATTTTAGTTAATGCTGTAATGTTTTTTGACCATTTAAAATAGATGAATTAAATAAATTAAAATGCTTCGAAAGAATATTTAT